GTGCTCTGAACAATATGGAAAAGTTCTGTCTGCTGACTCTTGCTTGATTGCATTAGTATAGACGAGAATTAACTACTTACGCCCATGGTTTTATGGTTTTGGTCATTTCAATGACACAACTTGCATGCTGGTTGTACATCTCTGTTAGATCTTCCACATCTTCCACATGGAGCTTCTTTAAAGAGACTACAAGGTTTTTACAGTGCCTTGTGAGCCAGTACATCGCTATTTCTGAAGCCCTTCTGCAGGCAGAACTCCCTTTGAAGTCAATGAGAGTTCTGTCTGAATAAGGACTTCAGGATTTGGGCCTTAGGTCATAAATGCTGTGATCAATCTTTTGAGCATGATGAGTAACATTTTCTTGGCTTTCAGAACTACACTAAGCCAAATAGTAGCCCCAGGGATTCAAAATAGGTTAAATGGGAGAATCTGCTTTCTTTCAACCTACATCTTTGTTTAGCTTTTAAATCAGCATAGTTGCCATGCCTAGTACTGACTTGCCCAAAAAAACCTCCAACAATAAGACCAGATGTTTCAATAGTTACAGTCAAACCTATCATGGCATGAGACACTATGAAACAGAGTTGTGTTCAATGAAAAACAAACACACTTGCTGTAGACTGACCTGAATGTACAGTCTGGAATGTACAAAACTGAAAACTTTATTAATTACATGTCAGAGAGGTCTGTAGGCACTGCTTTTGATTAGAACATCAGACACTGTATTGGCTAGTAGAGTTAGAGCTAGGCAGTAGACAGAGTTAGTGATACAAAAAGTTGACAGTCCAGGTAGGCAAGACAGATACTCCCATTATTCTATTCTTTTTAGTTATTCTGTCTTTATAGATGCAAAGTTCAGCTAGGGTGAGACTGTGTGACTTACCAATACCTCTCACAAAGTCTAGAATGAAACCTGCCTCCCAGCCTCATGCCATACTCTCAAGACTACTCTCCCCCTTTCACACAATGATAACAGTATATTAATTACTGTACTGAAAAAAACATTGCTTCGCATCCCCCAACTCACCCTTGTCTGAACTCCAGCATCCCCAGCCACTTCCCCCCTGAAGCCAAAGGCCCAGGTTCTTCCCATTACCTGTGATGAGGGTTTTGTCAGTATTTATTTAAGTGGCAGCAAGTCAAGATCTGGTGATAAATGCCACCCTGATATAGGCAGGTGTCAGAGCAAGCAGCAGGGCATCAGCAATGTGGGCCAGAGCAAAACTCTCTTGCATTTTCAATCCTCACATGTTATCATGCAATTGGATTAATAAGAGAACCAAGAGAAAAGACAGACTGAAACAAGAGAAAGAAGGAAAAATACAGCAAATTCTTGTTGCCTGAATAGACATAAGAGCCTGAACATTTTACAGGCTCTTACCTCTGTGAAAACATGAGTGGAGGTGCATAGGTGAACAGCCCAGTTCTTTTCCTGGAGTCCCAGGCCTGATGCTGCCCTTTTAACATTTTGGTGGAGGAAGTCCTGCAACTTCTGTTTCTGCCCACAGTCAGTGCAGAGTCTGAGAGAACTGTAAATACCATGTTGGTATGCATTGCACTGCGAAAATATAGAAGTCTTCGGGTGTGAATATATATGGAACTGTCACTTGCAGGCAGAAAAGTGTTTTGGAGAAGCAGCTTCAAAGCTGATGAAGGAAATATAAAAAGCAAGGTATTACCTGGAATAAGAGCAAGGGGACTCAGAAGCACAAGTTCAGCAGCTGGAAGAATTTATCCACAGTATCAGTAAGACTGATGAGAAGGTCTCCACTATACACCAGATACGCCCTGACACAGCTGAACCTACTGAAAATTTTGAACAAGTGAAGTCTTGTCCAGCCTACAACTCACAGCGGTGATGTAAACAGCCTGCTGATTCAATTGTACTTGTAGATGGTTTTCATGGTTTGCTTCTTTGATTTCTTCTTTTCATTTTGTTTTCTTTTTCTGTCTGGATAATAGGTTCCGTTCCCTCTCCCTCTTTCAACTAGGTCAAAAACCCTTTGACTTTCCCAGTTTCTTCAAAGCCTTTGCTCTGCTTCCTTGTGTGAATTTAGTCCAGGTGCTAGACTGGTTCCTCCCTAGAGGCTCCTCCTTGTGATCCAATCCCTTATCTTGGTTCCTGATCTTGAGGGAAGAGGCAAAACAGCCAGCAAGGAAAGGCATGCAGCAAGAGATAGCTCAAGACCACTCAGCAGTTCAATTTGTCCACCTCAAAGATGAGGACAAAGTAGCATATTTTTCCCTTCAAATTTAGAAGCAAATTAGGGGTTTAGTTACAGCAAAATGGCTCCTAAAGTCTCTTCTCCTTTCCCCTAGGGTATGGGTCCCTGCTTATCCCTGAGGAGCACAGAGATGCAGGGCACTCAGAGAACCCATTCCAGGGAGCTTTGAAGAGTCCTCTTATGTAGCCCATCACCACCATGGAGAGATGGGTGGGCACAGCATGGCCTGGCAAGACATGAAAGACAAGGGCAAGGGAACAGTCATGTGTGGCCACTGCTCAGCCATTTTTGGGGTGACCCATGGGGCAGCCCCTTTGTAAGCTGGTCAGACCATTGCTACCAGCTCTGATTATTCTGTGATCCTATTTGCATGTATCTTTCTTGGGGACAGGTATAAGAAGATGGGGCTGGAGGAGTTGCTCTATGACAAATTTGGACACATTCACACTTTTTACTTCCGAGAATCACAGAATGGATCAGGTCAGAAGGGACCATAGTGGGCCATCTGGCCCTACCTCCCTGCTCAAGCAGGGTCATCCGAGAGCACATGGCACAGGATTGCATCCAGATGGTTCTTGAATATCTCCAGTGAGGGAGAATCCACAACTTCTCTGGGCTATACTCTCTTTTCTTGCATTTGAAGAATCTAGGATAAAAAATTGTATATATCATCAAAGAATGTATAAGAAGATCCTATCTGCACTATGAATTGTAACTGTATTGTACGTGGGCATCCTGATTTGGCACAGCAGCAGTTGAGGCATCCTCTGGGGTAGCACTACTAGAAACAAATTGTGCTCTCTCTGAAGCACTGGGATCTATGAAATTATTTCCTGAAATAAGCATCTTTCTGCTGACATCCAAGATGAGTCTGACAAGAACTCCAAGTCTGCAGAATATGAATGAAACTTGTACTCATGCCAGCTGAGTCAAAAATCCAGTATAGCACACTGTAAAGCAAATAGAAGAAGGATTCATCTGGGGAAAATAATTTCAACTTCCAAAGAGAGACTGAACAAGGCTAATAAAAGATATATTTTATTACAGGCTTTTTTTTTCTCTTCCTTTAATCTTAAAAAACTTGTATCTTCACACATTATAACACTGGTGATTGCCTTTGTTCTTCATTCTTACAATGAAATGAAATACACAGAAAATGTGTTAACGAGAGTGCATTGCACAGTCTTAAGACCACTGCAACCTGTTTCCCAGATGAAAACCCAGTTTAGAACTATGCAAATGTTGTCTACCTGCATTAACTCTTTGTTGCCTTGCGGTTTAAGAAAATATCAGTGACAGACGACTGGGATCAGAGAAGTAAAAAGTGAATTAAAAAATGGTCTCTGTCAGATTGCTTCCATCACCACATTTAGGTCGTGCTAATCTCTCCTTTGTGAAGCACAGGAGCTCTCTTGCAGCTGTGTATGAAAACAGCTCCTCTGAGCTTCCAGCTCCAGGGAAACAAATGGGTAGAGCAAAAAACTTGACACGAGGAGTCCTGTGCTCTGTTCTCAGCTCTGTCACTAGAAGGGCATGGCAGGGGGTGCCTCTGTGTGTCTGTTTTCCCTGGGTTTAAATGGCTGAAGAAGTCTGCAGATGACACGGAGCTGGATATGCAGTTAAGACAGAGGAGTGGTAGGACACTGAACAGGAGGAAAGCAAACTTGAGAGAGAGCAGAAAAACAGAAACGGGGTGGAAGGTGTGGAGTACAAAGTGTAAAATGGTGCCCTTGAGGGCCAGACCACAGAATCTGCTCCTGTAAGCTGAGACCTTATCACTTGAGGGCAGCAGCTGGTCACTTGTTAGAAAATGATGTACAAGGCAATAACTCGAGGGGAAAGAACTTATACTCAAGTTAAAGAACAGCAGTACAGGAACAGTCAAGAAAATGATTAAGCTAGAAATGAGAAGAGCAGTGAGGTCTGTGGTAGTCATCTAGCAAGGAAAGCTGAAACACCTATTCTATGCTAACATCTTTCACCAGTTCATGAAAATCAAATTCCAGGCCTATGATCCTAAGTTTTGAAGAGTTTAAATTGCTTACTTTTAAGCTGGTTACAAAAGAGGAACTGGTTTTTGCTTATAGTAACAAAAATGTTCTCAAGGATTACGTTGTTTGTAAATTTGACTATGGCAATGGCTGGAGTATTACTTGCAAATTTAAAATGGCAGCAAAATACCCTATGCCAGTGGATGAGTAACATAAAATGGAATTAACTGGTCCAGTTCAATTGCCTATGGTAAACAAAACAAAAATATCTGGAAAACACTAGAAATTATATAAATTTTATTTGATCTATTATTTTATTTCAAAAGGTGTAACCTACCTGGTGCCTTATTAGTGAAACCCACGCAGGGATTACATTTAAACATCAAAGTTTTATCCTACTAGTATTAGTCATCTTAAGATACTTGCCTACTTATTACCTGCTTTCACAGGTCTCATTTTCCATTTGTTTTTCAAAAGCAATTGTGAAGTCGATTCTTGCCTCCATTAACATTATTTTTCCTGTTATTTTCAAACCAAATTCCATGATTTCTTTTCCAGATTTTACACTGTATTTCTGTCAAGAGCTCTTTTTTCCAGGTGTAAATACATTTATATACATACATATACACAGAACTCAAGGAAATATAACTACAGATATTTTATTTTAATTATAAGCATCAAGTCACAAGCTGATCTTTGTTACAGTTTAAAATACATATTTCAACTATCTGCCAAGGTAGACTGCTGTTACCAAAAGGCATCTTGAACACCAAAGGGTAAGATCTTAAGTGTCATCTACTACCATCTTTGAAATGAAGTCTCTGTAGTGAAAAGTATTTGTGTCTGGATCTAGAGCAGTGGACAGCATGTCCTCCATTTCTTCCTGCGTAAAGGGCTCACCTGAAAGGCAGCAGAGATTAACAGTTTGTATTGGTAAGTATTCTTTCCAGAACTGGCAAATTATACTGCCATACTTGAAGGAATATCCTTTTTGTTCTCACACAGAGCAAAACTAAGGATCTGATTCCTACACTTTTGCCAATATAAGTCCTGCACTCCAAGCAACCTGGTCTAAGGGAAAGGAGAGAGAGGATCTGGATCTTTGATCTGCTAGTTCACAGACTTCAAAACAGCCTGTTCCTCTCTGCCACAGGGATTTTGAAACAACCATTTCTGTCATAATGAAATTTTCTAATGTGTACATTATAATTATTATCTCTCATTTGGCTATCCTTGCACCCATACTCACATCATGAAAGACTTCTGTTTTTTCTTGTCCTAGGTTACAATGTAGGGTGTAACCAACAGTATGTATTTTATTGTCATCTTCACAAGCTGTTAAAGCAGGTGGGGGCAGTGATCGTTATCTCCTACCTAACTCTTCCCTGATGGCTCCCTCAGGGGCTGTCTCTGTTTAATGGGCTGTCAAGGACCCACCACATGACCCATAGAATTACATAGTCCCATTGTGAGATGCTTGTGGGGGGAGGGGGGGGAGAGCCAAACACGCTCACAGGGATGTAAGCTGGGTTTGGACCAGCACAGAGTCCTTTGCCTGCTGGATTCCCAGAGGACAAGAGCTGCCACTGGACCTTTGGGAGAGGACCGGATCTGCGGGATCACTGCTCCAACAGAGCAGTCCAGGAGGACTGCAGCCACCATTTCATCAGACTACTACCAACACCATGACTGACAGGGTGTCAGGTTGCCTTCTGACTCTGTCAGTGGTTTCTTTTTGTACTGTTGCATTTACTTTTTTTTTTCCCTATTAAATTGTATTTCTGACTTGGATTCTCTCACTGGTTTGCTTTCAAACCAGCACACTTCTCTTTTAGGAGCTTCAAAGCTACTGATGGCCTACTTCACCCCTCTTTGAGAACCAGGTTACCATCTGAGCCTCGGTCTTGCACAAAGCCTGCACAGTTTTGTACTTGAGGCAGGCAGGCATGAGTCAGCTATGCAAGAAAAGAAGGCTGTTGAGGGGATATTCAGGATTACATGATATACAACTTAAATCTCATCTTTGAATCTCTTTGTTTGCATACAGCTTGGGAATTAAGATCAAGATAATGTAGGAATGAATGAGCACTGAAACCACTGAAACATCTGGAAATCTAAGCTATAATTTTACAGGAGGACAGAAAAACAGTCACATCCTTAGGAAGCACAGAGATGTGCACAGAATCACAAAATATCCAGACTTGATTGAATTATGACTTTTAATAATTATAATCTCTATCTTAGAATGTCTGCAAGCAGTCAGATAAATGTTCTTTCCCTGCATTATTCACCAGTGAAATGCTCTAGTCTGCAAACACTCATCACTGCAACAGTATTATTTGAAGACAGTGTGTCTACTCCCTCATGTTTTGGCACACAAAAGGACCTCAAGGTGCCATATACAGCTGTAATGTTTTTTACTAAAATACTGATATTGCAGAAGTCATGTTACCTTCTTCAGTCAAATACTTGACCAGCTCCTCTTTAGTAATATATCCACATTTATTCTTATCCAAAGCCTTTAAGGAAAAAGAATAAAATTTGTGGGTTAAACCATACTGCATCAAGAAGCAGCAGCTTCTTCCCAGCAGTTAGATACTTTTATATTTCGTTACTGACCTCAAATGCATGTAGAAGAACATCTTCTGGAATAGGCTGGTAGCTGAAATCATTGAATCAGAAAAGCTAAGTTACTGTTTAAGGGTGTTCTGAAAGAACAAAATACAAGTACTAAAGGAAAAGGAAAACTTATTTTCTAGGGGAATTTACTAAGTTTGTCTATCAAGCATTTAATTTCAGCTTGACTTTATGGAATTGTCCATATGTTTAAGTGTTATGTCTTTCATTGTACTACTGTATAATTTCCCTTGTGCTGTGGAGCCAGATGAATGGCTTCTGCATGTCTGGGCTGGCTGAGTGGGTTAGTAGGAATCAATAACAGCTGAATCATTCCACGTAGCCAATGCACTGAACAGAAGATGGCCAAACCAAGAAAACAAAGTTTTGTCCAGGTATGCTGGTAGCTAGGCAACAGATCACCTAGTGGGACTTGGGCAGTCTAATGAGCTGATGATGAGCAAAGGAGGCTGGTAGCTATAAAAAAAAAGGTCTGTCACTAACAGTTTCAGAGAGACAGGAGAACTGGCCAGTGTGTGCATGCATTTGCATGTTTGATTTCAGAGCTGGAAAGGAAACTCTGTGCAGCCACGGAGAGCTTCCATATCCCAGCAGACTCTTACCAACTCCCCAGCATACTAAAGAGAAGACGCTGAATCTGGGGAGGTTCTAACTGCTTCATTGCTTTGTCCAGACCCGCCTCACTTTTACTGTCCAAAATCAAATGTGCTAAGAAGAAGCCTTGTTTTTTGTGATTCAGATCTCATGTGCCCTTGGATAAGTGAACTATGGACAGCATGCCCCAAAAGATAAAGTGGGTCTTGACAAGCCTGCACTACCCCGGGGAAAACGTGTGGGGGCTTGTGTCTGTGTGTGTGTGTGAGGGGGGTATGTTTGCGTGGAGGGGCTGTGGAGGAGAAGAGAACCCAGTGCAGCAAGGCATTGTGTGAAAGGGTGAATATCAGTGTGGAGCCACAGCTATTTCATGCATAGAACACCCTCCTACCAAAGGCCCTCTGTGTGCAAAATAACTTCTCCATATTGGCAAGACTGAGTTTCCCAAAAGCCTTGGCTACCATCTTTAAAAGGAAAGATAAACTCCCTATAAGTAATCTTGGTTTAGTGCAAAATATCAGAACAGCACAAGCTTCTGTGTACATGCAAAGACTTCTATGCACCTTTATATAAAGAACAGCACTTTTTGTTGGAGACTTTTAGATCAGCAGACTTCTAGAGTTGTATACATTTAACTGTACCTGGCAGTGGCTTTGAGACATGAGTATGAAGCTGGTTTACACGACTTATTAAAAATACACTGTACCTGACTGTGCTTCTCAGTAACTGTAACCCATATGTTCAGAGAAAGTAATAGTTATGACCTTAATTTGCATACAAAATATTTCAGAGATACACAAAACATGTTGAAGAGCAAGTTAATTCTGATTCCCATTACAAATAAAAAAGCTACGTATTACCACAATTTGTGAGTATAAGCTGGTATTATTTATATCATCAGTATGACATAATTTTATGTAGACAAAGTAATTTTGAAACAAAATCTATCGAGCTAATGTAAAATGAGTTTAAATTACCATGAAAATCTGTACTCTTTCCTTACAGAAAATATATATCTGTAGATACATTTATTCAGAATCAACCCTGTCAATTTGGAATAAACTACAGACACATAAAATTCACTTTCCATTACCTTCTGTTGAGTAGCATTTTTGTCATCACCGGAAGAAATTTTTCTAGATGAATGTGTCCGGTCGGTTCTTGTTCTTCTATCTAAAAATAAAATTTAAGTGTGGAAGTGCAAATGACTCATTAGCAAACTAATATGAAAAAGAGAAAATTGGGGTGGTTCCTGCACAAAAATTACAGAGTTAGGCTGTGAATATTTATATCAGGTCTTTTAGATCACATGCCACCCTAACAGCTGAGTGAAATGCTTGTGATCAAATAGAAAGAAATTCAAGGAAGAAATAATAAGGCAGGGAAAATACAGGCCTGCTGTTATAGACACTTCCAACAACTCAATATTGCCCTCTTGTGCTTCCAAACCATTCATGCAAAGGAACTGGACACCAAGTAACAGATGTTATCTCCCAGAACAACTCAGCAGAGGTTTAAACATTCAGAAGTCACACTAGCAAAGTCTATCAGGACCTGGAACACTCCCAAGCAGTGTAATGTGACCACCCATTACAGCCAGCCGTGAGCACCTTCCCTGGCATGATTTAGGCCTGTGCCACCCAACATTCTCTGCAGCAGATCCTGGCTAGGACATAAAGGACTTTTCCCCAGCAGGCTGCTTTGTGCAGCCGCTCCACATAAAACATTAACCAGGGTGGACACGAGCTGCTCTGCCAGCTGGCTTCAACAGCCAAGGATGTTTCTGGGCATATTTAATGGTCTAGCTTGGACACAGCCCCGGCCTAGTACACCTCAAGGGTGGAGTTTATTGCCTCCATGTGTTTCATAGCCAAAGAGAGTCGTCAGCGGAAGGACCAGCGAGGCAGGCAGACAGGGCAGTCTGAAACAGTCATAACGGAGCCCATAAAATGTTACACAAAGGAAACTTTCCCTTTGCCTCCCAAATAAATTAACAGATTAGTCCCAAAACATCAGGGACTTCTAGCAATATTCTCACTGCATCCCTATACTACCACAGGAGACAGGCAACGTAGCAAAAACTACTCCCTATCATCCCTTCCCTGAAAAGTTCAAGTTGTGCTCCCAAAAGGAGTCCTGCTAATGGAGCTAGTCTGTTCCTGCCTGTGTTGAAACTGGATGCATGCCTTGAGGTCTCACATGGCAGCAGCAACACCTTGCTAGGCTCTCCTAGACACAGCTCAGATTAAAAGAAGACTCAAATAGGCACTGATTCGAAATCTCCTAACTGAGCCAGGGAAAATGTAGTAAGGAATCTTCCTTCTGAGAGCTGGGGCAATTCCTGATACATACAGTTGCTTAAACGGAGATCTGCAACAGCTGCTGCATGCAGTTATCCAGTGCTCTTGAGAGGGTTTGGGTGCTAAAAGAAGACAGCCATCACATATTGCTGCATTAGAGTGGAAACTGGCTTGATAAAATGCTTTTTCCCTTCTGTTTGGTGAGCCTAGTGGAAGGGATCTTTAGCAAGAAAATGAAACTGTCACATACTTCACGCTAAATCAAATGGTACCTTTTACCATTCCAGAATCATTTGTTTTACTGCTCGCTTGATTGAAAACATGTAACAAAATACCTGGCAAAACCTAGTCCTGCAAGACCTCAGCTTCCTCTGACCTGGAAAAAACATCTTCCATTTCAGAGGCTCTACAGGCCCAACATCTAGAACAGTTAAAATTAATCCTTTTGCTAACATTAGATAGGTATGTGAATAAATTGAATATATTAACTTCACCTAAGTCAGTAAGTATTCAGATTTGCTGCTATATGCCCTCTTATTCTTCCTCATGCTTAGTCTGTTCTACACCTCATGTTCCATTGATGTTTTCCTTTTTCTGTAATTCCTCCTCTTTTCACAATAACAATATTTGCTTGTGCAAACTCTGTGAGTTTTGCTCTATTGCTTTCCTCTGGGAAGATCCATAGCTTTCCTAACAACTGTATTGCAGCACCCATTTTGTTTTGTATCTCTGCTCTCAGGTCCTTTTTCCACCAGACAGCTTTCCAGTCACCCTGGCCCCAGTCTGTAGTGCTTCATGGGGTTATTGCGGCAAAAATGTAGGACCTGGTACTTGGTCTTGTTTAACGTCATACCATTGGCCTCAGCCCATCAATCCAGCCTGTCCAGATCCTTCTGCAGAGTCTTCCTACCCTCCAGCAGATCAACTCCCACCTGACTTGGTGTCATTCATGAATTTACTAAGGGTACACCCAATCCTCTCATCCAAATAAATCATCAGTAAAGATATTAAAGAGAACTGGACCTAATACTGAGCTCTGAGGGACACCACTAGTAACCAGATTCCAACTGAATGCAGCATCATTCACCACCACCACTATCAGGGCCTGTTCATCCAGACAGTTCTTAACCCAGTGAAGAGTGCACTTTTCCAAGCTGTGGGCTGCCAGCTTTTCCAGGAGTATGCCATGTGAGATGGTGTAAAACGCTTTGCTGAAGTCCAAGCAGACTACATCTACAGCCCTCCCCTCATCCATTAGGTGGGTCACCTGATCATAAAAAGAGATCAGGTTGGTCAGGCAGGGCCTGCCTTTCCTAAATCCCTGCTGCCTGAGTCTGATCCCTTGGTTGATCTCTATGTGCTGTGTGATGGTACTCAAGATGATTTGCTCCACAACCTTGCCAGGCACTGAGGTCAGACTGACAGGCCTCTAATTCCCCAGACCCTTCTTCTGCCCCTTCCTTTGAACCTCCAGTCATCTGGGACCTCCATGGTGAGCCAGGACTGATGATCAATGAGGGAGAGAGTCGTAGCAAGCTCTTACACCAGCTCCCTCATCACTCTAGGATGAATCCCATCTGGTCCCATAGACTCTTGAACATCAAAGTGGCACAGCAGGTGACCACTTACCTCCTCCTGGATTACAGGGGGGCTATTCTGTTCCCTGTCCCTGTCTACCAGCTCAGGGAGCTGGTTGCCCTGAGTATAACCAGTCCTGCTGTGTAAGATTGAGGTAAAGAAGGTATTAGGTACCTCAGCCTTTTCTTCATCTTTGGTAACTATATTGCCCAGTGTGTCCAATAAAGAAGGGAGATTTTCCTTGGCCTCCTCTTGTTATTAATGCATTTATAAGAACACTTTTATTATCTTTCACAGAAGTGGCCAGATTAAGTTCTAACTGTGCTTTCACCTTCTTAATTTTCTTCCTGCATGACCTAAGGACATTCTCAAACACTTCCTGAGTTGCCTGGACCTTTTACAAAAGGTCATACACCCTCTTTTTTCCTCTGAGTTCCAGCATTTAGCATAAGGCAATACAGGAAATGGTATGTGATCATTTATAGAGATAACATAATTATATGAATATTGATTTTGCAGATATGAGTGATTTGATGGTAACATATGCTAGCTTAACTACAATAAGGCTGATAGGAAGATGAGATGGCTGAGAGACACAAGTAGTGAGAAACAGAAATGAATCACAGCTTACAATGGGCAACAATAATGGGGAAATAGCTTGGCTACAAACTAATGGAGACAATTTTTACTTTATCTAGATTAAGACAAAGAGGTATTACCACAGTCAATTACAATGGTATCTTATATAAATTAAGATATACTTGTGATTATCATAATGTATCAAGGGTTTCACAAGAAGATAGTGTTGTTCTAGTAGAAAACCTATGCCAAGGTTTTGTCTACAGGCATCATGAAACGTTCTTTGAGATTTAATTTGTAGTTCAGTGTTCTTTAAGGTTAACCATTACTTTTGAATGCATTATTTCTTATTGCAGTCTTTGTACTTTAATATCCTTATAATTAGCATTTGCATACATGTCACACTGTTGCATGTCAAGAATCTTCTGCCTCAAGGCTGCATTGCATTGTACTTTATGTGTTACTTATCTCAAATTTTCAGTAACGTTGAAAATTGGGAGGAAAAAAGATAGTCCAGTCTCTTCACGAGAGTCTCTCCCAGTTCCCCTGGACTTGAAGGAGGCTGTGAAAGCCTCCTCTTCCTTTTCACAATTCTGTATCTTCAGTCAGTTGCACTGTACATGTGCTGCAAAGAAAAGTCTCTGTGGGCCACTAAAAATATCATCTATATTAAGCACCATAATTTCTCTTTCCATTTTGTCTTGTTTGTCAGTGGGAGCTGGGACAATCTGGTACAGAGAGTACAGAACCAGAGCAGACAGATTGCAGTATCATGTTAAAAGAGCTTTCTCCTCTGATGGTTCTTTGCACTCGCTCATCTGAAGCAGCTGCATCATTTTCACAAGACTTAGCACAAGATTTCTCACACTAAATTCTGATCTACATGAGACCAGACAAGCCTACTGAGGAGAGACTACTATTGAGGAGAGACTACTACTGAGGAGAGACTACCACTGTAACCACCCAAATTTTTGCTGGGGCAGGAAGAAAACAGTAAGAGAGATAAATTCCCAGTATTCTGTCCTACACATGAAAAGGACAAAAATCTTTACACCATCTCTCAGCTCCAGCATCTTCCACTCTTTAAGGCAGCATGCCCATTTGCAAAATGAATGTGAAGTCTTTTTCCCACTTCTTTGTGTCATTTATTAACCACACCTTGCCAAGGCACCAGCACACCATCCTTTCTATTACAAGCATGAAGTAAGGAGACAAGAATTAGTGTAGAAAAAAACTGTGGAGAAATGTGATTTAATTTCCTTACCACTGCATATCACTGAGACAATGAGAGGACCACTAGGTCTTGCAAGGTTTTATGTCCTGAAGCCTGATTTACAGGCTTAAGTAGTCAAGAAAGAAAAGACTGCTTACCTATAACTAAGAAATCTCAAGAGTGGGAAAGACCTCATGAAGGTCAGAAAGTTGAATGATCTGACTAAAAGACAGCAGTAAGAGGACCCAGTGAATAAAATGGCAGGCCTTCCCTCTATGTATTTTTGGAATTTGAAGTGTAACTTTAACACCTGCTCAGAACTAATTTTTATTACCTAATCATGCCGTGTGTGTCCATGGCATGTACAGAAGAGTGAGATTGTTAGGGTTTGGATATCCTAATCTGTCTGAGGTTTAGGACATTCCTTTTTGCACAGTGTCACAGTGAACCTCTCGGGTAAAAGACAGACAAAGACTCCTCATTTTAACCCATCAATATTGTTACCTCATCGGCCTAAAAGTTTGCTGTAGGGCAACCTGAGACTCTGCCTATCTGCCTGAAACACTTCCACGACACATCCAAGACCTGGGGAAAGAGCTTAGGTTTCCCACTCAGCAAGGCAGGAGGGCCAAACCTGTGCAAGTTTAAGACTGAAAGAAATACAAAATATCCAAACATTTACCTCTGCAAGCAGTTCAGTTAGTTCTGCCTCACTTGGGAAACAACCCAGTGACCTGACAAGGGAACCAAAATCTCTGAAAGAAAGAAAGAAAGAAAGAAAGAACATCTTTGTCAGTAAATCTGCAATACGTAAGTGTCTGTGGAGAATCCAGATACCAATTGAGAGCTTGCCTGTAAGACTGCACACGTACAAGCACATAGCATGCATAAACATATGTATGTGGACTTTTAAGATGATGTCTCAGTAAGCAATGTCTATTTTTATAGACATTAAGTACTCTGGAGCTCTTTGGAAGAGTACAATTGTTCTTGTGACTTTACCATTGTGTTAGAGTGCACTGTGTGTGTGAGAGTTACTTTCCAACTGCCATTCTCTAATTGTTAGGCTTAATTTCAGTAAAGTCTACGTTTATATAGTTAGCAAACCACATGGAAACCTACTGAGATGAAAGATAAAAAATAAAATATGTGTTTATATTAAATGCTATAAAGATACAAATTCTAAGTGCGTTAAGAAAAATTACAAAAAGTCAGGAAGGAGGTACCCCTGCTATGTCCCTGCTGTGCTCTGAAAGTGTCAAACAGAACAACCAAATGGCTTATCACTACTCTGTTTATGCTGCAAA